TGGCATTGGCCCAGATTTGTAGGGGAAAGGAAATTGCTTTCACCTCTCTGCCTCTTTCTGCCCTTGCCGGAAGCAGAGCGGGTCTTCCCTGCAGGGTGGTAAGGAGGAAGTGAAAGCAAGGGAGCACCTGCGGGTAGAGAGGAGGATCCTGGGAAATCCTGCTCGGTGTCTCCGGTTGTTTCTGTCGTCCTTGTTCTGTCTTCTGATGTGTTTTTATCACTCCTGGGATGACTCAGTAGGACGGTTGGTAGGAAGGAGCTTGCATTTTTCTAGGAGATATTTTGTAGTTGTGTATTTTTATGCCTTGGTCCCCACTAGGGAACCCATGAGGACTGGCTTATGGATGGAAAACCCTTTTGTTTTCACATGTTTCAAAACAAGAAACATTCCTACAGGGGAAGCCTGTCTGCCACATTCTGGTGTTTAGCAGGAAGCAATGAAATGTTGTGAAGCTCCTGCTCAAATGACCCCAGTCATTGAAAATGGAAACGAATCAAGAATATGACTGCAGTATTTTGTGTGCTAGACAAGACCACAGCGTTTTGACTACGCAGTCTGGTTTTGTGTTGTTCATGTTTGGATCCCAATCATGTCCTAGGTTAGGGGAAAGGGGGCCGCACCAAACTAGGATTTGCTTTGCCAAAGCAGATTCTTTGGCTGAGAATAAGTCTGAGTTTGGCCAGAATCATGTCATCAGGAAGATGGTACGTCACTCCTGTGTGCTGAGGGACAGGAGTGGGTTCACTGAGGGGACCACCAGCTTGTGGGGTCCTCAGTGGTGGCAGTGTCCTTTGCTGAACACTGTCCCCAGCCTCACAGATGCTGGCGCTTGGGGAGAGCAAGTGACAGTGACTCACCCTTTCTCTCCTGGTGATTCATAAGTTTCCCCGTTCAGACAGGAAGTCATGTAGCTCCTGTTGGACTCTGTTTTTTAATAATTGCATTTTACATGTGTGTGTCTGTCCCCTGCTGTTGTGAGTTGCTATTGATTCCAACTCATGGCAACCCCATGTGTCAGAGTAGAACTGTGCTTCATATATCTTCTAGGCTGTGACCTTTCAGAAGCACATCACTGGAGCCTGTCTTCTAAGGTGCCTCTGGGTGGATCTGAACTGCCAACCTTTCAGCTAGTAAGTGGAGCGCTTAACCATTTGCACCACCCAGGGACTCCTGGCATTTTACTTAAAAGGTTAAATTTTGTCAGCTTGTGAGTGAATTCTGGGTGGTCGCTGGGTGGCACAAACAGTTTGTGCTCGGCTACTAATCGAAAGGTTGGCTGTTCAAACCTACCCAGTGGTGCCTTGAAAGACAGGCCTGGCGATCTGCTTCCCTAAAGATTACAGCCAAGAAAACCCTATGGAGCACAGTTCTATTCTAGAACACATGGGGTTGCCGTGAGTTGGAATTGACTTAAAAACAACACATTTGGTTTTTGGTTTGTTTTTTGGTTTGGTATGAGTGGACTGCTCCGGCAGGGGTTCCACTGCTCACTCATGAGTTTACATACCATTTGCTCTAGATTCCCTCCGTTTGTCTTTTGCTTGCTTTAACACTTTGGTCCCATGGGTTAAGATAATTACCATGCAAAATGAGACACGCCAGTCCTGAGGGGCGTAATCTGTGACCAGATCTTTCTGAGCCCCTTTATCAGAGGCAGCAGTCTGTGGTGGAATTGTCTCATGGCAGGTAACAAATGGGGATAATTTTGCACCACAAAGATACTACCATCGTTGTCTTTATGATTATAGTAACTGATTCCTGAACGTATCTTTGAACTCCAAAATGAATTATGCCTCTATTCAGGTTGAATGAAATTTCTGATGTTGAAATCTGTACATTAATTTGTTTTCTTTTTCCAACACAAAATCTGCTGTTAAGGGGAAATCACTGTCTGCTTTTATGATTCGTAAATTAATAAATGGTATATTTAATTCTGTACATAAATTTATAGCGAGTACATACACTGGAACAATAGAGACAATCATATTTGACTAAATCATCAGATCAAAAGACGGAGACGGATTTTTGAGGCTTGCAGGTTCGCAACTGAGATTAACCTCCTGAAGGCCGCTGCCCCCGCCCCACAGCCCCCACCCCACACCCATAATCTCATCTGCAGCCCTAGCCCCTTGCACCCTCCTCACTGCTGGAGTTTGTGGTGGGGAATGTCAGTTACCCGTCTGTGGTCAGATCTGGCCTGGGACACTGACTCTAACCCAACCCCTTCATTTTACAGAAAAGGAAACTGAGGCTGAGGGGATTTCTGAAAGGTATTTGCTCACTATTGTGAGACTCGGTGTGGTGTTTTTAAGGATCTTATTTTAAGTCAGCTGTCATCAGGAAAGGAGTCCCTGGGTGGCTACTCACCGAAAGGTTGGCAGTTCAAACCCACCCAGTAGCACCTCAGAAGACAGGTCTGGCCATCTGCTTCTGAAAGGTCACAGCCTTGAAAACCCTATAGAGCAGTTCTACTCTGCCCACTTGAGGTTGCCATGAGTCAGAATCAACTGGGCAATGGGTTTTTTGGTTTATCATAAGGAAAACAAATCCCTGTTACAAAGGAGACAAGCCACATGTGTTCAAGTGAGGAAGCACTTGAACTTCCTGAGTTGTCCTATACTCGGTATACATGACGCAGCAAGCTCTTTATTATTCCCGGGATGGAACCAGCCAGATACTTTAAGGTCTAACAGCCTTAAAGGCATAGAATGTTAATTATTAAAGGACTGAAAACTTAATTTTTTTTCCCAATTGTCACCTGTTTCCAAGACTCAAATGCTCTAGACTGTTCTTCGGGAATAATACTATGTAATTACTAATGGCATTTACCAAAAATAAACGATGGTTTCCAGGGACTCGAGGTTGGTTCCGATTTGTCAGCTAGGGCCTCCTGAGATTTCAGAGTGACACTGTCCTCAGCAAGTGTGCACCAGCAGCAAAAAATACGAAGTGAGGTAGAAAGCAAAGCAACTGGGTTCTCCCTTTTCCGTGTACTGCAATGGGTGTATGGCATCTTTTTTTTTTTTTCTTGAGCCAAAAATTAGGACATGTCATTTGAGTATTTATGAGACAGTAGAATAAAAATAGAATCACAGCTCAACAGTTATAATATGCCTTTATTGAATAGAATAACATGGAAAATCCTAGAATGTTTCAGTGGCCATGACTCTGAAGTGTACTTTTCAGTAATAAAAGCGAATACGAAGGCATTGGTAGTTCAGTGGTAGAATTCTTGCATTCCATGCAAGAGACTCGGGTTCAGTTCCCAGCCAGTGCATCTCATGCACAGCCACTACCTGTCTGTCACTGGAGACTTGTGTATTGCTGTGGTGCTGAACAGGTTTCTGTGGAACTTCCTGACTAAGATGGACTGGGAAGAAAGGCTTGCCAATTGACTTCCAAAAATCAGCCAGTGAAACCCTGTAGATCACAACAGACCAGGCAGTGTTTTGTTCCATTTCGCGTGGGGTTGCCATGAGTCAGGGATTGGCTCAGTGGCAGCTAACAACAACCACATGTCAGACGAAGTGGTGGACTTTCCACATACAATCCTTACAATGCCTTTGCAATAAGTTTTATGAAGCTCATTTTACAGATGAAGAAAATGAGGCCCAAGGGGGTTAAGTCATTTGTCTGGGATCACAAGCTATTAGGCCTGACTTCAAAGCCCCCTTCTGCCATATCACACTCCTCAGAAACCATTCCCAACAGAGAATTTCCTTCAGACATAGTTGGGACAGAGAAGGATGAGTTTCTGCTAAAAAAGTTGCCCACCACATCCTTTTAATTCGTAATCCTTTTGTTCAGTGATTTACGGAGCACTTCATTCTTGCCAGGTAGCAGGAAACAGATGTGGCAGCCTCCCGCCCTCAGAGCCCTCAGCTTTATTTATCAACGTGCCACTCTTAAGTTGCATACATGGTACTGTGTTAGAGGTATGTACAAAATACTAAGGAACGTACAGGGCAGTTATTTGAGGGGCATCTGGGAATGCTTTATTTGACTTGCATTTACAATTCACAGGGTATGTGCACATTTTATATTCTATACAATGCCTCCTTTAGTCATCAGAATCCAAGAGGGAGATGGTGCTGGCCCATTTTACAGAGCGGGAAATGGAGGCAGAGGAGGTCAGTGGTGGGCCTCTGGAGCAGGCCTGGAACCCAGGTGTGGCAGACTCCAACCCCGGGCTCTGTGCCCTGCAGAGCAGCCATGATAAAGGGAGCTAGCTGTCTTCAGGTTCTCACCTTTGCCATAGACTGACTGCTAGGAGTTGGTGCAAGCGAACATATCCCTGCGTTTCACTGGCCTAGACCTCACTGCCAGTTAGGCCCTGGAGGAGACAATGTTCTGGCAACCTCAGCAAATCTGCAGTCTACCACTGTGATCAGGACAGGGGCTCAGGATGTGCAGCCTCCACCTTTTGGGTCAGGGCCTGGTTTAGGGATGGCTCCTTTGTTCACTCCCAGAGACTGATGGCCCAGCCAGATACCAGAGTCCAAACTCATACTCAGGAATGTTCTCTCCCAGAGACGAATATTCCTGTTTGTCCCTCCAAGGCACCTTTGTAACCAGAAGTTTGCTTGGTGACATGTGGACACAAACAGCCCTGAGAAATGCACCTTGCTCTGAGATAGGGACCCTCTAGCGTCCCCAGGTCCAGCCTCTCTCCCTGGGACAGGACCGGACCTGTTCCCACATTCTTCTTCCTTGGAGTCAAAGTAGAAGCTGACTGGGTTTCAGGTCCCTGGCTGGCACAAATGGTTTGTGATCAGCTGCTAACCAAAAGGTTGGCAGTTCGAACCCACCCAGCAGCACCATGAAAGGCCTGGCGATCTGCTTCTGTAATGATTACAGCCAAGAAAACCCTATGGAGCGTTTCAGCTCTAACACACGAGGTCTCCATGAGTCAGAATTGACTCAACAGCAACGGATTTGCTTTTTGGGTTTGAAAGCTGTTGTGGCGTCAGCTAGCTGACCACTGCAGGGTTCAGTTACTGAGGAGATGGGGTGATAGTCACAAAGTTTTGGCTTTATTGAGGCTCTGGGTTTGGATGTGCCTAGACTTCCTGTCATCCACTACTTAATAACTTTTATTGTCTATGTTTTTTTTAAAAGTTTGGGAAAATCATTAAAGCAAAATAAAAACCAGCTATACTATAACCCAAAACCCGTTATCTAGTCAATTCAGACTCATAGCGACCCTACAGGACAGGTAGAACTGCCCCATAGGGTTTCCGAGGCTGTAACCTTTACGGAAGCAGATTGCCACATCTTTCTCCCTCAGAGTGGCTGGTGGGTTCAAGCCGCTGACCTTTCAGTTAGCACCCGAGTGCTTTAACCACTGTACCACCAGGGCTCCTTACAACTATACACATGCCAAAAAGAGTGAGCAAGATCCCTACGTACTGATGGAACATTTGCCAAAACTTATCACTGAGTGAAAAAGGGAAGAGTGAAGTATATAAATGTGCTTGTGAAGGCACAGTTCATCTTAGGAAAGATACCCAGATATCCTCTGGGGAGGATAGTCCCCCCCCCCCTCATATTGGCATATTGCATGTGTATTTTGTAATCTTTTTTTTAAAGAGAAATATGCCAGAAACATTGCCCCATATTATTATTCTCGCTTACCTTGATTCTAAGGAGCCCTGACTGTACTGAAAGGTCAGCAGTTTGAACCCACCAGCAACTGGGCAGGAGAAAGATGTGGCAGTCTGCTTCCATAAAGATTACAGCCTTGGAAACCCTATAGGGCAGTTCTACTCCGTTCTATAGGGTCGCTGTAAGTCAGAAATGACTTGATGGTAGTGGGCTTGGTTGTTTTATCTTGATTTTGTTTCTGTGTATATGGCACTGTGATTTGCTATGATTTATTTAACCAGCCCCTACTGCTGGATGTCTAAACTGTTCACCATGTTTTGTGGTTAAGACTGCAGTGAACATCATAGTACCCATTTCTGATTTTGTTGTTGTTAGGTGAAGGTTGACAGTTCAAATCTACCAGCCACTCCTTGGAAACCCTATGGGGCAGTTCTACTTTGTCCTATATGACTGGAATCAGCTCAGCCATTTCTGATTATTTGGATAAATTGCTGAAAGCACACTTGCAGCATCAAAGCTGATGGTGCTACACATGGTTTTAAACTGCTTCCCATTTTGCTTGCTAGGTGGGTTCCCTCAGCAGCCATCTCACCCAGGGGTGTACACTTCACTTGTTTTACTTAAAGAGTTTTGTAGTTTCCAGGTGCTTGGAGAACTCTGCATCAGCCTCTACTTGGACCATTTCTACTTTCTTCTCACCAGGGGATTCTGATTTGGCCCATTAAATAAGCCTGGAAGTGGCCCCTGTGGTACTTAAATTTTGTCTCAGATAACAGCATTTTATTTTTTAATTTTTTGGTAGTACAAATTTAATTTTTCCTATTATTTTTAAATGAAAATATTATGCATACAAGAGAGTATACATAAATTCCACCCTTTTGCCCACTTTTCTCTTAGGCTTTTTTTGTTGTTCTCAGGAGTTCTTTATGTATTTTGGGCGCTCAACCTTTGTTGGTATCTGTGCAGCAAACGTCCTCATTTACACAGCTAGCCTTAGATGAATAAACCAAAAAAACCAAACCTGTTGCCGTCCAGTCGATTCTGACTCACAGCGACCCTACAGATGAGTAGACGTTCTTAATTTTAATGTAGTGTGAATTTTACAATCAGATAAACAGCATTTTAAATACTGCAAAGAATGCATGAGAGTAGTGCTCACGGGGTGCACATCTTTCCGGTCGGCAGTAGAGCACTGTCAGTACTGAATGTGCATACCCTTTGACTCAGCACGAGATGTATACAAAAGGATGTTTGCTGCAACACTTTTAATAGTAGTCTAACGTGGTCTGCTGCCAAAGACCTCTTTAAAATCTTAAAAAAGCAAAGATGTCACTTTGATGACTTAAGATGTACCTCACCCAAACCATGGTCTTTCCAGTCACCTCACATGCATGTGAAAGCTGGACAATGAGAAAGGAGGACAGAAAAATTGATGCATTCAAACTGTGGTGTTGGCAACAAATATTCAATGTACAGCGGACTGCCAGAAGAACCACCTAATCTGTCCTGGAGGAAGTACAGCCAGAATGCTCCTTAAAAATGAGGATGGTGAGACTGTCTTGCTTACTTTGGACAGGATATCAGGAGGGACCAGTCCCTGGAGAAGGACATCATGCTTGCTAGAGGGTCAGTAAAAAAAAGACCCTCGAAGAGGTGGACTGACACTGTGGCTGTAACAATGCACTCAAACATACCTACTATTTTGAGGAGGGCTCAGGACTAAGCAACTTTCATTCTCTTATACATAGGGTTACTGTGAGTTGAAACCAACTTGATGGTACCAAACAACAAAGCTGGAAACAGCCAAAGTGGTCAGCAATATAGATTCTTGCTTAAATAACTAACAGTAAATCCACACCACAGAATCCTGTGTCGTCAATAATGACCCATTAACCTGTTTTGGTTCATGGGTCCTATTAAGAATCTGATAAATGCTGTGTATCTTCAACCCATGAAAATGCATATATGCACAATATTTTAACCCCAATACTTGGATCCCTGAAGTCCATCCAGTCTCCAGGTGGTGCGAACAGCGAGTTTGGCTGCTATCCAAAAGGCTGGAGGTTCAAGTCCGCCCAAAGGTGCCTCGGAAGAAAGGCCTGGCAATCTACTTCCCAAAAATTGTCCATTGAAAACCCCACGGAGCTCAGTTCTACTCTGACACACATGAGGTCATCAAGAATTGGAATTAACTTGAGGCAATTTGGCTTTTGAAGTCTATCCACGGTGGATCCAAAGTTAAAACCTCTTCATATGGATCTTTATTGGCATGGAAAAATGCCCTCAGTATCCAGATTACTGATCACTATATGCAGTACAGTCCCATGCTATTCCTTCTGTCTAGTGTTCTCCCCCCACTTTTCACATAGCTGACTCCTTGCTCAGATCTCACTGCATGCCTCACCTCTGGAGGGCTTTCCCTACAACTTTATCAGTGTAGGCCCACTCTCCCCCTTACTATTTTCTCAGCACCTTGTTCTTTTCCTTAATGACTCCTTGTGATGCTGTATTTGCTTACTGATTTGTGGGTCTCTTCCCAGACACACAGTGGGCTGGCAGAGATTAGGTCTGACTTGTGCCTAGCTGCATCACAAACCACATACAGCCTGCCACCTGTTTTTGTAAGGCCTGGGCTCCAAGAATGGTTTTTACAGATGAACATGTACTTTGGCAAACAATTTGATGACAGGAAAGACTAGCTTGAACTCCAATTAAGCAAAATGTTATCCCCCAAAAAAATTCCATTCCTTTCATTAGACCTGTATTAGGGGGAAAAAAAACGAATTATTACTATATCTTAAACCTCACCAATAAAGATTTTGTGGACATTTTTGTTTTGCTATGCAAACCGGTAAAGCAGTTGCTGTAGAGCAGACTCCGATTCGTACGTATCAGAGTAGAACTGCACTCCATAGGGTTTTCAATGGCTGATGTTTTGAAAGTAGATCGCCAGGCCTTTCTTCCCAGATGCCTCTGAGTGGGCGTGAACCTCCAACGTTTGGGTTAGCAGACAATGTTATTAATGGTTTGTGCCACCCACAGACTCCTGTTATCTAAACACCTACATAATATCCTCAATTTTGTCTCTCGGCCCTCGGATCCTGAAATGTTTTCTATGAGGCCTTTTATAGAAAAACTTTGCTGACTCCTGGTCTAGAGCAATACTTTGTTTGTAAAAATAAAAAAGTGTATGTAAAATACACGTGCATCTATTTGCACACGAAAAATTGGGAGGAACAGCCAACAAAGCGTTCACAATGGTGATCTCAATAAGTCCGATGATGGGACTTCGCTGGCTCCGTTGCTGGAACGTTTGCAGCTTGTGATTTCTTCCCCACAGTGCGCAGGAGTTAGCTTCATCGTATTAAAAGCAATGTAATTACATCCTTCGGGAAGGCACGGAATCCTGTCGCACGCGGTCTTTCTAGAAGGGAGGTCGTGGGCTCCCATTCCGCTAGGGCACTTCCGAGGCTGGAAAGTGGGGAGGGGTTCCCTGCCCCCAAATCTTTTTGCCCAGAACGTCGGAGTGAGCGGGAGAAACTGAAGAGAACCTTTTGGGCCCAAATCAGCCCGCGTTTTCAGGACCGTCGCCTCCTAGCTTCGCGTCCACCGCTGGGCGAGCAGGCCTGGGAGTCTTGACGGGGGTCGCAGCCGGAGCGCCTTCTGGACGCACCTCGGAGTCTCTTCGCCGCCGCAGCCGCGCGCGGAGGAAACGGAGCCACTGACACGGGCAGGAACTCCCGGGAGCTTCTCGGGCTGCGAGCCAGCCTGTCAGGTCGTCAGCCTGTGAAGACGCCCCCGCCACGGTTAACGGCCGTCCAGCACGTCCCAGCGGTCGCGTACGCCACGCGCTAGCGGGCCTCCTCCGCGCAGGCGCGGGAAAGGCTCTGCGCGTGCGCCTCCTGGCCCCTCCCGCGCGTCCGCCCTTCGCGGGCCCTCTTCCCGCCCGTCTCCTTCCCTCACTTCCGTCGTTTCCTGGCGACGGCCGTAAGTTGCGGGCGGAAACGGCCCACGAGGCCCGCCGTAAAAGGCCCCGCTCGCGCCACTTCCGGCCGGCTTCCTCACACAGAGCTGGTGGGCGATCGAGAGGCGGAGGAGGACGTTCCCCACGGCCGGAGCCATGGAGATGCCGCTGCCGCCCGACGGTGAGGCGCTGCCTTACTTGGGGACCGTTTCTCTGTTCCTCTGGAGTTCGCTGTCGCCCGCCCCGCCTCCTGGGGGTCTCGGGCCTGCGAGGGGGCGGGGCTCGGCCTCCCGGGTTGGCCTGCGGCCTCTCCGCGGGACCACCCCGCGTTCCCCGCGCGTGGGTGTCCCTTGTCGGGACCCGTACGAGGACTACCTCTCTGCCGCCCGCCCCGAGCAATCCCCAGCCCGGCGCACCGGGCCTGGCGCGGTCCCCACTGACGCCCCGCGTGGCCTTTTCTCCTCCCTGCAGACCAGGAGCTTCGAAATGTCATCGACAAGCTGGCGCAGTTCGTGGCTCGCAACGGGCCCGAGTTTGAGAAGATGACGATGGAGAAGCAAAAGGATAACCCGAAATTCTCATTTCTTTTCGGAGGCGAGTTCTACAGCTACTACAAGTGTAAGCTGGCGCTGGAGCAGCAGCAACGTGAGTCCCTTCCCCTCTCGTGCCGCCCCCTGGTGCGATTCTCCGCTCAGATTCCACAAACTGCCTGTTTTTTAGTTTCTCGCGCTTTCCCTGTGGATTGGGGCAGCTCGGTCTGCACGATGCCTTCTGCTGTCCTCAGAGCCCTGCATGGAGCGGCTGCCGGGCCGGGGTGTGATGGAGAATGCGGTTATCGATCCTCGCCTGGCCTCTGGGTCAGGCATTCCGCTATTGTTTTGCAGGTGTGAGGACTGAGATCCGCTGATGTACAGCAACTTGTTTAGTGTTTCCCAGGGAGGAAATGATAGCGGCTGGACTGGAGCCTTCCCGCCTTTGTCCAGGCTCCTTTGTGTGCTTCAGGGGTCCAGTAGGGTTTTTGTGCATTTCAGATGCTAGCAGCGGTCCAGACCAAAAAGAACTGGTTATCTCTTTTGGATTTTTGTTGTTAGTTGATGTAGAGTTAATTTTGAACCATGGAACCTCCATGTGTGCAGAGTAGAACTGCTCCATAAAGTTTTCTAGGCTGTGGCCTTTCAGAAGCAGATCACCGGGCCTTTATTCCATGGCACCTTTTGGTGGGTTTGAACTGCCAGCCTTTTGGCTGGTAGTCGAGCACGTAACCATTTGTGCCACCCAGGGACTCCCTTTTGGTTTTAGCTCTTGGCAAATGTTTCTCAATGTTTGTTCAGCTGAGCATCAGGAATTCTGGCCCTGCTCTCAAAGAGTCTGAGATGAGACCGGGGAGATGCAGCTGGTCTTTGAATAATGGATGAATAGTCACCAGGTGGTGAGTTTCCTGATGCAGGGCTCTACCTGTCTTGTTCAGTAGGAAATCCCCAGTTGCTAGATCATGTTGCTAGAATAAGTTGTTGTTAGCTGTTTCTTGACAAGTTGACTCCTGACTCATGGTGGGTCCTGTGCACAAGGAATCAGACCATTGTAATCCGTAGGATTTTTGGAAGTAAATTGCCAGGCATTTCTTCCTAGTCAGTGTTAGTCTGGAAGCTCAGCTCAAACCAGTTCAGCATCAGAGCAGCACACAAGCCTCCACGGACAAACAGGTGGTAGCTGTGCCATGAGGTGCATTGGCTGTGAATCGGACCCAGCTCTTCCCTCATGGAAGGACAGAGTTCTACCCTGAGCCACCACTGCCCCCTACCAAATGAAGAGGGGATTGCCAAGTGGTGGGGCATTGAAAGAGGAGTGCTCCCTAAAGGCCAAACAGACCTGGCAGGAATCATTGTTGTGCCCTAGCATGTGGCATGCTTTGGACATGTTGTCAGGAGGGCCCAGTCCCTGGAGAAGGATATCATGCTTGGTAAAATAGAGGGTCAGTGAAAAAGAGGAAGACCTTCAACGAGGGGGATTGACATAGTGACTGGAGTAATGGGCTCAAGCATAACATCGATCACGAGGCTAGAGCAGGACCAGGCAGTGTTTTGTTCTATCATACGTAGGATCACTATGAGTCGGAGGCAACTCCATAGTACCTAACAACAACAGCATGTAGCGCAAGCAAGTAGGCGTTGGTAAGGCAGATAGAGTCGGGCACAGTGTGTGCAGAGGCAGGACAGCTCCAATGAGCACTGATTCAGGAGAGGCCCAGCATGGCTGGAGCATAAAAAAAACAAAACCAGTTGCCTTTGAGTTGGCCCCGACCAATGGTGATCCTCTGTGTGTCAGAGTAGAACTACACTCCGTATGGTTTTCAGTGGCTGGTTTTTCGAAAGTAGATCACCAAGCCTTTCCTCCAAGGTGCCTCTGACTGGACTCGAACCTCCTACCTTTTGGTGAGCAGCCAAGCACATATACCATTTATACCACCCAGGGAGTCCAGCTAGAGCATAGAGTGTATGTGGAAAGAGTTTGATTCAGGGCGTTACATCTCAGGGGAGGGTTGGGTTTCTCTCTGGTGCAGGAATTCTTCTGGTCCCTGGTGAGATTTGAGGTGGGAGAGCAAGGCAGCTGCCTGAAATCATTGGTGAGATGTCACGTATGCTTGTGTGTTGCTGGAGCGGTTATTGTGTAGCCCCAGCACACCACATTTACAGCTGCTGCTACCAGTAGTGGGAAGCCTTGGGAGTTTTAGGCAAGGGAGAGACCACCTGGTGGCCATCGTGGAGGGCAGGCCCAAGGGAGCATGAGTAAAAGCTGGGGGACCAGTGAGGAACAAGACTGGCAGTGAACAAACTGACAAAAGATGATAAGGTCTGGATTAAGTCAGAGAGCATGGGGGCAGGTGGGGCTTGGGGGTGGGGCTTAGGTGGAATCAGTTGGGTGTTGATGAGGGTGGCATACAAGGAGGGTGGGGAAGACACCTGGGACGGTGCCTGACTTGAGTGACCAGGTGGTAAGAGTGGCTTTTTTGTGAGGGGGCCCACACTCGCCATTCCCCTGGAGGGCCAGGAATCAGGAGCTGCTCCAGGGCTTGACACTGTAATGGGAGGGATAGTGTGTGCTCACCACCAGGGAAATTGAGGTCAGGAAGAGCTTTCTGCAAATGCTGTCTTCTCTGGGACCTCAGGACTGTGTTGGAGTTAGCCAGGTGCAAAACCAGGGTGGAAGAGTGTCCTGGGCAGAGGGACAAGCTTCAGAGGGGCCTAAGAGTGGGGTGGGCAGGGGAGTACCCAACAGCTCACACCAGCTGGAGCCCAGAGGAGGAGGGACTCCTGGAAGGGTCAGAGGGGAAAGGCTGAGCAGGGAGTACCGGCTGCTGAGGAGTTAGGCATTTGTCTTGAGAGCTTTGGGGAGCGCTACAGGGGTTTCAGACAGACTGCAGGCCCGGGGCTGTGTTTTGGAACAGGGCCCCCCCACAGTGCAGCTGCCCTTCACCCTCTAGTCAGAGTCTGAGTCCCAGACCAATCAAATGGCACTAGCAAATTTCTTGGGAAAGGGCTAGGCTGTGTTTTTGTTTTTGTTTTTTCACACCTCTAGTCTGGCGCAGGCCTATCCTTTTATAAAGTCTAATGTTGTTGTTAGTTGCCGTTGAGTTGACTTGGATTCACGGTGATCCCATGTGTGCAAAGGAGAACTGCCCTGTGGGGTTTCTGAGGCTGTGACCTTTCAGAAACAGGTCGCCAGGCCTTTCTTCTGAGGCATCTCTGTGTGGGTTCAAACCTGGTTAGTAGTCCAGTGCTTAACGATTGCACCACCTGGGGACTCCGTATAAAGTACAATAGATGTATGAAATGTCGGATTGCTATGAAAGTCTGGAAATGCTCACTCTCCACATCTGCACAGGTCTGGTTTCGGTATCAGCCTGGGGTGATGCGTGACCCACATGTTGAGCAGCGGAACAGTGGCTGCGGTGTGGAGGGGACAGAGGGGTGAAGGAGACCAGTTCTAGGGGTGATGGCAGGTGGGGTCAGGCAGGGATGGCAGGGGTGCTGACAGGCAGGAGTGTCATCTGGGATAGACAAGCCACGTGACTTGGCGAGGGACGAGGTGCAAGGGTGAGGGGAGTCACCTGTGCCTGTAGGTTCTGGCTTCGGTGTCAGGAGACCTGCGACACTCAGGAGCTCGGGAGGAGGAGGAATTTGGGGCATGGGGCAGGAGGGATGTGTGCTGGGTGTGAGAGGCCTGTGGGAAACCTGCAGACCCATCCACTCAGTGATTAGGCCCAAGGCTTGAGGAGCCGAGTATGGAGATGATGGGTGTGGGAATTGTGGCATGCAGCCACAACTGCAGCCCCAGACCCAAAAACCACACGTGCTGCTGTCAATTCCAACTCATGGCGACCCCATGTATTACAGAGTAGAATTGCTCCGTAGGGTTTTATTGATTCTAATCTTTACGGAAGCAGATCGTCAAGCCTATTTTTTGCGGTACTGCTGGGTGGGTCAAACCAACAACCTTTAGTTTAGCAGTCGATCACAAAGTGCTTCCATCATCCAGGGACCTCATAACTGCAGCCTCAGGGTACGTTAAACCCCCCTGGAGAGCTTCGTAGACAGAGCTTCGAAGCTTAGGATACAGGCCAAGCATTCCAACTTTTTGGGTCAGACAGGAGCCAGCAGAGGTGACCGAGGAGCAGCCAGAGGGGGATGAAGGGACAGGAGAGTGTGTCTGTGACACCAAGGGGAGTGGGACAGGGACCTGAGACAGGGCCACACTGGGCTGGTTAAGGGCATCCTGAGCCACCTGTGGTAGGGGTGGGAACGGCAGAGCCGGCCTACTGTGGGTGGGTGCAGTGAGATGGGGAGGTGAAGGCATCTTGGTTGTAAGTTGCTGAGAGGAGCATGGGGTAGATTTCAAAGATAAAGATTCAGGTTATTTAGTTGCTGTTGGGGAAGAGCCAGTAGAGAGACAGACACACACTGGACTTCCTGAGGCAGTGTCCTGGGAGGCTGGGGGTTGCAGCATGAGTCAGGCTTGGCCCACAGGGAGCCTTGGGTGCACATTCCAGAAGACCCGAGCAGCTCAGGCTGCTCAGTTGGCCGGGCACGATGCGTTCACCTGTGCACTCTGCCGGCCTCAGCTTAGGCCTTGTCTGGCGCTAGTGCCTCTTGCAGGCTCTGGCAGGGCTGGGTCACATTCAGATTCGCAAGGCCAAGAGGCCAGGGGGAGAGCACCTTGTCTGCGGTCCTTTTCCCCACTTGCCTCCCCAGCTGAATCGGGATGTACGCCCACCCTGACTCGGTCTCCCACAAGCAGAATAGGTGTCCACAGCCAGCAGGGACCAATTGACCCCTGAATGGTACGGCCCCTTTCCCGAGGATGTAGATGGGAACAATCAGAGTCCAGGGGAGAAGAAGGGCAGGGGGCAGCGATATGTGCTGGGGGGCCTGCAGCTTCGTGACTCGGGTTGGCATGGGCCAGAAGGACAGTGCAGCCAGGTGGGGCAGTGTTGGAGGGAAAGTGACGAGGAGACAGCCCTTAGGCCCTCCAGGGAGAGGCAGGGCTCAGAGGCAGTGATGGAGCCCAGAGCATCCCGGCCACGACCTGTGAGGTGAGGCAGGTGGTGGGCTGGATGCTGAGGAGCTGGCAACCCCACACCTGGAAGCAGTGGATCTGGTCTGGCAGAGAGCCCCCTTCTCACAGGTCACCTGTTCTTCTCTCCCCCAGTCATTTGCAAGCAGCAGGCCCCCGAGATGGAGCCGGCTGCGGCCCTGCCGCCCCTGCCACAGCCCCCGCTGGCCCCGGCAGCACCCATCCCACCGGCTCAGGGCGCCCCATCCGTGGACGAGCTCATCCAGCAGAGCCAGTGGAACCTGCAGCAGCAGGAGCAGCACCTGCTGGCCCTGCGACAGGTACGGGGCCCCCACCCTGGCCCTCTGACAGGCACCCTGAGTGGGCTCAGGACCCTCTCCTTCCACTTCTCTCTGGGTCCTGAGGTGGTACCAAGAGCTCACAGGACCTTGCCCAGGGCCTGGCCCCCTAAGCCTCCATTTCCCGCCTGCAAGTTGGAATTGACAGCATGAGGCTTCACATCTCTGGTCCCCATGGCAGACTGGAGACTGGCCTCACCTTGCATTTTGCCAGACTGATGGGCAAACACAGCCTGCTGTAGTCTTCGGCTCCATCATTCTCCTGAGGCTGCTCCCTCCACTGGCTTCCTGACCTGGCGTTTCCTCTCGGCTGTCTGCTCATGGCTCTCGCTCAGTGTCTTCCTTCCCTCCTGTCTTAAGTAGATGTGCAGAGGCACTCTGCTCATCTGGGTCTCAGTATTCGCCTGTTACCTGGGGGCAGACAGCATTGCCCTGTGTCCTGTCTGCTACCCAGGCAGGCATGTAGGACAGGGTCTCCTGTGGCAGGGGCAGTGCACTGCTGGACACTCAGAGCGTGTCATCAGGCAGGACAAGGGCCCCTCCTCACAGTCTGGCCCGCCTGACCTCCCCAGGAGCAGGTGACGGCGGCTGTGGCCCACGCGGTGGAGCAGCAGATGCAGAAGCTACTGGAGGAGACCCAGCTGGACATGAACGAGTTTGACAACCTGCTGCAGCCCATCATCGACACGTGCACCAAGGATGCCATCTCGGTGAGGGTGGCCCTGGGCAGGGGTGGAGGGCTCCCAGAGCTTGGACCTCCAACCATCCCATCCCACATTCAGGAGCCCAGCACATCCTGTCCAAAGCTATGGGCCTTTCCCTTCCTTGTGGGTGTGCCCGCCTCAGATTCTGAATCCCACATCCATCTACAAGGTGTTGGCCTGGGCTGAGGGCAGCACACTCACAGGCAGGTGGGCCCAGTGGTGTGGCCTTCCCCATGAGGACCCATCCTCACACTACCTGGCCATCACAGGCTGGGAAGAACTGGATGTTCAGCAATGCCAAGTCACCACCGCACTGTGAGCTGATGGCCGGCCACCTGCGCAACCGTATCACGGCCGACGGGGCGCACTTTGAGCTGCGGCTGCACCTCATCTACCTCATCAATGACGTACTGCACCACTGGTGAGTGGGGCCTCGCCCTCCACCACCTGCCTGCCACAGGCTTGTGTCCATGCCCCTGTTGGGGGGCTTGTCTGATACCCTCTCTCCCCCTGGAAGCCTGAAGCTGGCTGTCCTCACCTACCCACCAATCACCTCATCTTGCAGGGGGTTCCTTTCTCACCTTAGTCCCTTCCCCAGACCCCGAACACCATCCTCTCTGCCCCTTGCTCTCCTTGGGGTAGCCTCCAGGCATCTCAGTGAGTCAGGCCTGAGGCTCCATCCCTGACCCCAGCACTAGGCCCGGCTCAGCGGTCCTCATGCTCCGCCTCCTCACTCCCTCTCAGCGACTCTGGCTCTGCACCAGCCACCCGCTCACTCACCCTCACCCCCTCAGCCTTTGTTCTGTTCTGCTGCTGGGACCCCCTGGGGGCTGTGCTCACCCTCAGTCTGACCCCGCTATCTCCCAGTGTCCTCACACAAGAGCTGTCCTGCCTCTCAAGGCCAGGCAGGGCTGCTGTCTGCTCAGCCAGTTGGCCAGGACTTTGGCAATTTACGAGAAAGGCAAATAGGGAGACAAAGAATCTGGACCAGAGAAAGGCCAGGGGTGGGGATGGCACGACTCTGCTGCCATGAGGTTGGTAAGGTGGCCCCAGGGTCAGCCGGACTAGCAGGGGCGCCTTGGTTATGAGCACGGCTCCTGTGAGAGCGGAGGAGACTGAGCCAGGCCTCAGAGAAGCAGGTTTTCCAGCCTCTCCCTACGGGAGCCGTGTCTCGCCCACCTCCTGCCACATCTGCAGCTCGGCCCCCACCCCATCTGCACAGCCTGTGCATCTCAGCTTCACTGTCTGCCACAGCTGTATCCTTCCTTTAGTTCTCTCCCTTGAGAGAAGCCGCCACCCAGAACCTTCTTTGCTCTTGCCATATTTTCAGCTCTGCAGACTTGCGTCTTGTGTTTCCCCAGCGACACTGCTCTTTAGCTCTGGCCCGTGGTTAACGGCGGCTGTCTGCTGTGTCCGAGGCTGTGTGCTACTCTTCTGCCCTCCCTCCTGACACAGGGCCCTGCTCTCCACTGAGCTCCCTTGGGCGAGCTCGGCCTTTGGAGGGGCCTGAGATGCTCACCTGGGCCCTGCGTCCTCCCGGAGGTGCCTGGCGGGGAGGGCGGGAGCCCGTGGCTTAGCATCATGTGCACCTTGTGGCCTGGCTGCAGGGGCTCCCCTCACATGGTCTCTTCTGGACTCAGGGCCTCCCCTGTAAAGCAGGGTTGTGACCTGGAAGCCTGGGAGGCAGGCCCGCGCAGAAGTCTGTGCAAATAGCAGTGACCAAGCCTGGGTCGGCAATCCCCTGCGGCCCCGTGGCACCCTTTGTCCTTACCCGCAGTCCCCAGGCAGAGTTCCCTATGAAGAGCCCAGCATGAGGTGCTGGCTCCCACAGGCCAGGCCTGTGTCCCCCCCTCCCATCACTGTCCCCCAACCCGTGGGCCCTAATGCCAGCCCAGTCTCGCCCCGGGTCCCTAGCTGGCAGAGGGCGTGGTGGCTGGAGCCGCGGTGTTGACGGGCGTGTGGCCGGGTCCCGCTAGGGCCCTGACGCGCGGAAGGTCTCTCCCTCACAGCCAGCGCAAGCAGGCGCGGGAGCTGCTGGCTGCCCTGCAGAAGGTGGTAGTGCCTATCTACTGCACCAGCTTCCTGGCCGTGGAGGAGGACAAGCAGCAGAAGATCGCCCGGGTGCGTGCTGGCGTGGCACAGCATGGGGGCAGGGCTGGGCGGGGACACCCCGACTCTTCTGCTAACGCAGCCCCTCCCCGCATACCAGCTCCTGCAGCTCTGGGAGAAGAATGGTTACTTCGATGACTCCATCATTCAGCAGCTGCAGAGCCCGGCCCTGGGGCTCGGCCAGTACCAGGTGGGCACTGAGGCCAGCAGGGGGTGGCCCTACTGCCCAGCAAGTTCCAGGAGCGAAGGGACCGCACCCCTTGCCTACACCAGGGTGTGTGGGGGCAGCCAGTCAAGCTGGTGGCCTCAGAGCCCCAGGACCATGAAGGGGGTGGTGCTGAGCAGCAGCCTCTTGGCCGCTTCCCCCCCACACACACACACATACACACACACACCTGTTTACCTGGCTGGCCTTGCTGTCCTGGCACACCTGTGCCTAGTTGCTAGATGTGGCCAGCACTCTCAGGTGTGAAGGAAGTATGGTCTGTCCTGCCTCTGTTTGGACCTCCTGACAGCTCCCACATACAGGACATGAGGACAGCTGCTGTGGTGACCCCACCACACCCCCTGTTGTCGTCAAGCTGGTCTGGTGGAGTTGCTCACTGTCTTCCCTGCTTCTCTCCCCATGTCCTCTGAGGTGGCATGCACTCCACAGCCCTGTGCCCCCACCCTCATCCTCCTCTCCCTTACCTGGCTCCGGTCCATCTGTGAGCCTCCAGTGTGCGTGCCAGAGGCTGAACAATGCCTCTTCCCTCTGTGACTGTCCCATGTTTCCACAGTGGGAGGCCCAGTGCTCAGAAAGGCCATGGGGAGCACACAGCCTCCCTTTCTGTGGTAGGGTGGGCTTGCCCTCATACACGGGGCATATGTCCCCTGGCCTGATGCCTCCATTTATGTGCACCAGGCTCCTGGCATGGTCCCTTCCTGTGTCCCTGAGTCCTCTTGAGACCCTCTGAGGCCTGTCCTGCCATGAGCCCCACTTTACAGATGATGTTGAAACTCAGTGAGTGCGTGACTGCTTGAAGTCATGCAGCCTGTGAGTGGGCCGTCAGCATCTGTCCACCTGACCACCACTCATCCTCGTCACCTGGGAATCAAACTGCCAAATCCCGCACCCGCTATGGTTGTGATGGCCGTGTTTACTGTCTGCGTGATAACTACCACATACCCTGGGTCTCGTTGCCCATGAGCATGCTTTGAGGCTTCCTAGAGGCGCGGGTGCCAGGAGTCTGGGCGGAAAGCTAAGCTGCACACCCTGAGTGCCGGCCACCCCTCCGCCAGGCGACACTCATCAGCGAGTACTCGTCAGTGGTGCAGCCGGTGCAGCTGGCCTTCCAGCAGCAGATCCAGACACTCAAGACCCAGCACGAGGACTTCGTCAGCAGCCTGGCCCAGCAGCAGCAGCAGATCCCAATGCCCCAGATGGACGCTGAGGTCAAGGCTACGCCACCGCCCGCTGCCCCACCCCCAGCTCCCACACCTGCCCCAGCCATCCCGCCTACCACCCAGCCAGGTATGCACCCCCTGCCACCCTTGTCACACTAATGGTCCTCGGGGGGCATGCTTCTCTAGTTCAGGGGCCCCGTCTTAGGGACATCTTTAGTCTGTTCACAAGCACTGGGACCAGATGTTTCCCCAGAACCTTAGAAGCCAGACAGATTGACAAGAGGGTCCGAGACAAAGATAGCTTTCATACCAAACTGGACGAGGATGGTGCAAGGTGGAAACTCACCTAGGGTCGTTTTTGAGCAAAGAGGCAGGAACACTACGTGAACACTAGCAGGCGGAATTCAAAAACCAAAACGACCAAACCCATTGCTGTTGAGTCAACTCCAACTCATGGTGATCCTGTAAAACGGGGGTGTTTAAAAAATACCTTGTGACCAAATCAGATCTCCCCTAGGAACAGAAGGATGGCTTGGTAGAAGACCTAGTGAGGAAATAACAGGGGGAAATGCTTTTTTAATTAGATGCAGAAAGGTGAAGTTCTCTGATAGAAATTATTTTGCAAGCAAACAGTAAGGTAGCACAAATGGTTTCACGTTTATTGTAGAGCGTTCAGAGAAATCAGGCATGTTCTTGCGCGGGGTGAGTAGTGGCGGCGTTTTTCAGTGGGGTCATTAGGCAAGAGTTTGGAGTGAAGCCCCGAGCGGCCGGCCTGGTCTGGCGGCCTCAGAGTGGTGATGGGTGTCATGGTTGGATGGCACCCCCTGCCAGCAGGGCCTCTAACCACCTCTGGCCGGTTTCAGATGACAGCAAGCCCCCCATCCAGATGCCTGGCTCTTCCGAGTATGACGCGTCGGGAGGGGTCCAGGACCCTGCAGCTGCTGGGACCCGGGGCCCTGGGCCCCACGACCAGATCCCTCCCAACAAGACCCCCTGGTTTGAACAGCCACACCCCGTGGCTCCCTGGGGCCAGCAGCAGGTAGTTCTGGGAACTTGGGGGGGCGGCGGGTAGATGAGGGAGCAGATGGGGCAGTGGGCAGGAGTCAAGACTGGCGGAGGAGCACGTGGTGATAATCCGTTTTCCAGGGTGGGGCCCTCATCCATGCTGTGCATTGTCTGCCTGTGGTGCACGGTCCTGCCCTGGCCCTGTGCTCCTGGCCTCGGGCTGCAGGGAGGCAGCCACGTGCAGAAAGGGGTCATCTGTGTTTGGCCTCCCCCAGCAGTGGCCTTAAATTTAAGGATTCAGGAACAAATAAAACAAATACGTCTGTGAGGTGCCCTAGGAGACAGCGTTGGCGGGTGGCAGGGCAAGTGAAGCAGGGTAGGGGCCAGCCTGGGGGTCTCAGGGAGGACTTACGTGGGTGCCAGGCTCAACCACTCGGGTTCTTGGGGAGACAGCACAGGTAGGTGAGGGAGCTCGGGCTGCATGGTCCCAGCACATTCTGTCTGGTCAGAAGCAGGCATAGCAGCCATGAAGAAGGACTCACACCAGTGTCACTCACCTTATTGGTGCCACAGTGTCCGCCAACCCCCTGCGCCCCAGGACTGGCCTTGCCTCACCCAGTGCTTGCTCTCTGTCTTACAGCCCCCTGAGCAGCCCCCGTACCCGCACCACCAGGGCGGGCCACCCCACTGCCCGCCCTGGAACAACAGCCACGAGGGCATGTGGAGCGAGCAGCGCGGCGGTGACCCTGGCTGGAGCGGGCAGCGTGAGGCGCCCTGGAGCGGGCAGCCCGAGCCTGGCTGGAGTGGCCAGTTCGAAGGCCCCTGGAACAGCCAGCATGAGCAGCCCCCCTGGGGGGGAGGCCAGCGGGAGCCACCCTTCCGCCTGCAGCGCCCACCACCCTTCCGCGGGCCCTTCCCGCCACATCAGCAGCACCCGCAGTTCAGCCAGCCTCCGCACCCCCACAACTTCAACCGCTTCCCACCGCGCTTCATGCAGGATGACTTCCCCCCACGGCACCCCTTCGAGCGGCCCCCCTACCCACACCGCTTCGACTACCCCCAGGGCGATTTCCCAGCTGGTGAGTTTGCAGGGTCTGGGGGGTGGGAAGACAAGGCCTGCAAAGAAGGTTCTGGCACAGGCGGTGGCACCCCAGCCTCCCGAGCCACCCCCCAGTGCCCATTTCTGTCCTGCAGAGATGGGGCCCCCGCATCACCACCCTGGCCACCGCATGCCACACCCCGGGATCAACGAGCACCCACCCTGGGGTGGGCCCCAGCACCCCGACTTCGGGCCTCCCCCTCACGGCTTCAACGGACAGCCCCCCCACATGCGGCGGCAGGGCCCCCCCCACATCAACCATGATGACCCCAGCCTGGTGCCCAATGTACCCTACTTCGACCTGCCCGCAGGGCTGATGGCCCCCCTTGTGAAGGTACATGGTCATGGTTGGCTTCTGGGCCTCCTCCCAAAATGCCAGCGGGTGGGGCCCTTTCCTGTGCGGGTCCCCATCCCTGCGGGAACCTGAGCGTGCTGGCGGGTTGGTGGAGGCTGCCTGAGCCCACGTCCCTGTGCTGTGTGAATGGTTTTCCGGTCCTGGCGAGGTGGACATCATTGGGGTGGGACGGCAGTGGAGAGCCAGGTTGGGGCCTGTTGGGGGTGCCTGCTGCTTTTGGGCAGGGGGCTGGGGGCAGTGACTTAGGTTTAGTTGTCTATAGGGCAGTGGCCTGCAGAGGGCATGAGATCCACCACGTGTCTGGACAGAGTGGGGTGTTCCTCACTGCCTGAGCTGGAGGGTAGTGCCTTCTGGGTGGTGTCCTGGGGGAGAGCCCTGTAGCTCTCCTACGCTAGGGCCTCGACCACCTGTACTCTGCGCTAGCAGAGAGGTTCAGAATCAGGCGTTGGTGCTGCTCAAGCCAGGGAGGAGTAGAGTTCTCCAGGAAGGGAAAGGTGAGGGGCCCAGGGGCCTGCCCTGCCCCCCAGTTGTGGTGATACATGTCCTCTCGTACAGCTGGAGGACCATGAGTACAAGCCTTTGGACCCTAAAGACATCCGCCTCCCACCCCCGATGCCACCCAGCGAGAGGCTGCTGGCTGCTGTGGAGGCTTTTTACAGCCCCCCGTCCCACGACAGGCCCAGGAACAGGTACAGGCCAGGGTACTGTGCTGAGGGATCCCCATGGAGGGTGGAAGCAGCTGCCATCTCAGTGGCCCATGCAGCAGCCAGGCCTCCTCCCAAGGTATATGAGGCTCAGGGAGCCGTGCAGGTCCCGTGTCAGGGAGGGCCTGGCACAGACACAGACAGCAGGTCCTTGGTGAGGGGGTTTAATGGAGACACTTAGAAGACATTAGCGCAGACTTGGCATGTGCCAGAGCTGATCTCCCGCAGGGTCTCACTGTTTAGCACAGCTAAAAGCCTCCTGCCCCACGCTGGGCGCAGGCCTGTGTCTGTGAGTTGGAGCTGTCCGCCCCCTAGGCTGGTGATGGGTCCCCAGGACTCCTCGGTGGAGCAGCCATGTGTGGGGAAGGCCAAGCTTGTCCTCAGCGTCAAAGTGGGTAGTTTCCACCGTGCACTGAGTGGCAGAGGGAGGGTCCTGGCCCACAGCAGGTCTGCCAGGTGCTGTCTGTCCCTGGTACTCCCCATGAGGGGCCAGTCGTGGGAAACACCCTGTCTTGCAGTGAAGGCTGGGAGCAGAACGGCCTATATGAGTTCTTCCGTGCAAAGATGCGGGCCCGGCGGAGGAAAGGCCAGGAGAAGAGGAACAGGTGAGAGCACCCGGCCCCTGCTCTTGGACGAGGGCGTATCCTGTGGGGAGTCAGCTCCGAGCGCACCTCACCCTGTCGTGCTAGCAGGCCTCGGCCTGAAACCCATGATGAAGGGACTGCCCCCGGGGAGAGAGGTGGTATGGGCTATTCAGCAAGGTGTTAGGGACACAGTGCGGCACCGTGGCCAAGATGCTGTGACCGGACACTTCGTGAGCCCCAACTGCCGGCGCCCCGGGTCTCCTGACACCATCTCTCCCACAGTGGGCCCTCGAGGTCACGGAGTAGATCCAAGAGCCGAGGGCGCTCTTCCTCCCGATCCAACTCGAGGTCCTCCAAGTCGTCCGGCTCCTACTCACGCTCCCGCTCGCGCTCCTGCTCCCGCTCCTACTCCCGTTCCCGGTCCAGGTAGGTGGAGCTCTGGCTGACACAGCTCACAGTGCTAACGCTGTTCCCAATGGTGCCGCTCATGGTGCTCTTTCCCGCCATAGGAGCCGAAGCCGGTCACGCTCCTCACGAAGCCGGTCACGGTCCAGGTCCCGGTCCCGGTCCAAGTCGTACTCCCCAGGCAGGAGGCGTCGGTCCAGGTCACGGAGTCCAACTCCGCCGTAAGATTTCTGTCTTAACTGTCATGTGGCCTGCGGGTGGAGCTGGATCCTCCGGTGCGGAACTGTGAACGTTTAAACAGTGGGCATTAGAAGACACACGTGGGCTTAGGGTGAGACAGCCCCCAGGCCACTGCATTAACGCGCACAGCGGCTGCCTTCCCACTGCCATGTGACAGTTGTACCTCCTCGGTCACCTGCATAGAGCCTGGGCAGTGGCCAGGCTGCGTGTTCTCTAACCGTTCTAGGGGTGCCTATGACCTGCCCTCGATGCTAAACTTGGGGCGGGGGTTGTCCTCTGAGGGAAGCCCCTTATCTGGCTGAAGAAAAGGAGAACGAAGAACAGTAGAAACACAGGATTATGTGTGTATGTCCATCCTATAACGGTGAACGTCCGTGTACGCCACACGCTGTAACATCCTAATCGTTCCAATAAACGTGGCCGTGACTTTTTGAACACCGTAACCTGTCTTGGTTTTAGTTCCTCGGCTGGTCTGGGTTCTAACTCTGCACCGCCTGTCCCTGACCCCAGGCTCGGAGAGGAGAACAAGGGGCACCAGATGCTGGTGAAGATGGGTAAGGCCCCAGGACACCACTGGCAGCACACTCCTTGTAGTGGGGTATCTACAGAGTTGGGGAGCTCCGAGAGGGGCGGCGGTGGGTTTGCCGGGCAGTGTTTCTGTGGTATCGGTTCCACATCTGTGAGCACAGCATGTTTGTGAGCGGTTAGCGGGTCAGGGTACGTGCACTTACAGCTGGGTTGTAACCACACGCTTGCCTTTCTTCCAGGCTGGAGCGGATCCGGTGGCCTTGGCGTGAAGGAGCAGGGCATCCAGGACCCCATTAAGGGCGGCGACGTGCGGGACAAGTGGGACCAGTACAAGGGCGTGGGCGTGGCACTGGACGACCCCTACGAGAACTACCGCCGCAACAAGAGCTACTCCTTCATCGCCCGCATGAAGGCCAGGGATGAGTGCAAGTAGTGGCTGCTGCAGCACTCGACCGCCGGAACCGTCCACTGAGGGGTAGTGGAAGCTTCCGAAATGGTCACGACAGTTGGCTCTGACCCAGCCTCGTCCCTGGGAGGAGGTGGAGGACTGAGGCTGCCCAGGGACGAGGTGGCACTGCTCAGTGGAGAGGAGGCGCCCAGGCCTCGCCTGCAGCCGCCTTGACCCAAAGACGTGCTGCAGGTGCGACGCCAGCCTCTGGTTTTCCTTACAGCGAGAAGTGAGGAACACCGGACCACCCCCCAGACACGGGCACACGAGGCTGCACATCTCCCCCAGTCAGCTCTGAGCCTCCTGGACCAGCAGGCGCCAGAGAGGAGGCCCCAGTGACCAGCATACCACCTGCTTTCCACCCCCGGGTGCAGTGATAAAAACCAAGGCCGGGCACGCTCACCATTTCCCATTTAAAAATGGAAGCCAAAGTAGAACGAGGTTTTTGTTTTTGCTCCACATGGTTTAGTTTTAGAAGCAGGAGTGCTGACCTGAGACCATCCCATGAGATGATTCAGAACCTGCCTCTCACAGACACACGAGCCCTGACTTCAGTTCTTTCAGTTGTGGAAGTTGGTATTTTCTCTCAAACGCTGGCCATTGGCTGTTATCTGGGAAGCATGTTCTGAGGAGCAGGTCTGAGCGTCCTTTGGGATCTCTGGTACCCGCGGTGGTTCACCTGGAGGGCCAGCCCCGCGCCCCCGGCCTCCCCATGTCCTCCACCCCCTCCGCCCGCCCAGGCAAGGCCAGGCCTCTGCACCCAGTGCCTGTCGGCAGCTTGGTGCAGTGCTGTTTGTACAGAAACCGTTTTTGAAAAATTCTTTTCAATAAGATACAAAACCTCTCCAACTTTTGACCCTGATGGGATAAAACATTTGATTTTGTTTTAGATTTCCTGTAGCTGTGAATAGTTTGAAAGTGTCTGATTCAGGATAATACATAAACGTGCTGTTAACAGTTCGTGAATTTTACTGTTTTGCCTTCAAATAAAGATTTTTTTTAAAGAACTTACTTTTTAAACCCTGCGTGTTTCTCTGCAGCGTGCTCTGGCAGACAAGGAGTGGGCGGCTTCTGTGGGGTGGAGTTTGGGACTGAAGGCTCTGCCCTGGCATCTTGGCACAGGTGTCCCTACACGTAAATGTCCCAGCCTGGGCATGGTGGCTGAGGTCCGCCCAGGCTCTGTCCCCACAGACCTCTATGGGGTCCTGCAGCCACCAGGCACAGGCTGCTCATCAGGCATTCATGGAGGAGGCGTGGGTGAGCTCAGCCTGCCCTCCCCTCCGCCCCCTGTACACATCATGTGGAGGCGGTGACGTGTGTGTGAGCATCACGGTCAAGCACACCAGGCTGACCTCACCTTGTGCTCATGGCTCCTTCTGTACCTCCTCCAAGGCCTCCTCCAGGGTCAGCGGGGCTGGCTTGTGGCACTGGATGTACTGTGGGTAGAGGACAGAAGGATGGCCATCAGCACACATGGACAGGGACAGAGCCACCACCTCCACCTCAGTGTGCTGCTGGGGGCTGAGGAGATGCCAAGCCAGTGCCAACATAGGGCTCCTGGGCCAGCTAACAAGCGCAGTGACAGGTTGCCCTGGATGTGCACAGCAGGGACATGGGTGCTGTGGGGACAGAGCAGCCCTGGAGTCTGACAGGAGGGTGGCCTTGGCTGAGACAAGGGCTGCTGCTGCCCTTGGGCAGACCTGGTGGACAGTGGGAGCTTGGGTGCTACCAGTGGGTGGTGTGGCCAGATCACCCTGACTGCCACGTGTCCAATGGGACAGGCAGGGTCACAGCAGGTGCGCCATCGTGGCCCAGGAGTGGGGCACTGCCGGAGGAGCAACCTGTTCACAGATGAAACGCAAGGAGGGGCCGACCTGGCAGTGGTTCTCCCGGGTGACTGCACCACTCCGTCGTGACCTCTCAGGGGGCCCTGTAGTCTATGCCCAACAGGCCCCAAAGGCCCTGACGCTGGTCAGACTGGAGAACTGCTGACCCAGAGTGAGGAGAAGTAAAAGACACCAGAGTCTCAACATGTGGACTTTGTCTTGATTAAAAAGTTGTAACAAAATGTACAACAGCTGAGACAAGTGGGCCCTGAATAAACCACTTGCCATCGAGTTGATTCTGACTCATGGCAACCCCATGTGTGTCAGAGTAGAACAGTGCTCCACACGGTTTTTCTTGGCTGGGTAGACTCAAACCTCCAACCTTGGGGTGAATAGTTTGTGACACCCAGAGACTCCATACAGTAAGTATACACTTCTGTATTCATACACAAATTTAAGATTTGGGAGGGAGAAAAGGCAAGAGAGCACGACACCCTTCAGGCCATGCCCCCCTGGGAGAGTGGGCACTGTGTCCCTCACAGAGAAGACAGTGTCACCTAGACTAGGACATTGCTGGCCCGAGGTCACGCAGAACCAAGCTTCAGCCCTGGCCCACCTGGTACCAGCCCCAGCAGGCTCACCAACAGAGGCTGAACGTGTCGGCCCTGATGCCCAAGCACCCCCGCTGACTGGAGGTGTGTCCCCCAGGGTGGAGGCCTCTCTACCCAGCCCGTCACCTCTTTGGCCTCCTCCAAGGTGTGGTAGTGGAACGTGTCCTGGTCCAGCGATGCCAGGAGCGAGGCATGCAGGTGCCGGTTGGCCTCCAGGAACTGCTGCGTCAGGGCCAGCTGCTGCTTCAGCAGATCATTCAGCGCAAACACAGCTGGGCTGTGAGCTGTCAGGGCTACACCACCGCTGCTGTGTCACTCAGCAGCCCTGCATCCGTGTGCCCACTGTCCATCCCCCCTCATGTGAGGGGAGGACAGGTGGCCCCGTGTTTGTGGCCACCCACCCCTCTTGGAACACTAGGATGTGCTCTGGACCCACCGCTACTCTCTGGAGAGGTCACGGCCTCATCTAGTCTCGTCTTTCTGTGTCTACTCAGGAGGAAGGGCTTGCTTCCCACTGGGCTGTGCAGGGACTTCAGGAGCTGCCTATACACGGCACCCAGCTGCCGCTGGTCAGAGACGGAAGCCTTGACCTGAATGTCCAGCCTCTTACAGAGGACCAACCAACCAGTTGTTATCGAGTCAACTAACTCATGGCGACCTCGTGCGTCAGAGCAGAACTGTGCTCCATGGGGTTTGCAATGGCTGATTTTCAGAAACAGATTGCCCGGCCTTTCTTCTGAGGTGCCTCTGGGAGGACTCAAACCTCCAACCTTTCAGTTAGCAGCTGACTGTGTTCACCTTTTAAACCACCTAAACCAAAAAAACCAAACCTATTACTGTCAAGTCAATTCTGACTCATATTGACCCTACAGGACAGAGTAGAACTGCCCCATAGGGTTTACACGTCTTTATGGAAGCGGACTGCCACATCTTTCTCCCATGGAGCTCGTGGGTTTGAACCGACTTTTCAGTTAGCAGTCAAGCGCTTAACCACTGTGCCACCAGAGATCCTTTAATCAACCCAGGGACTCCTTCTATATACTGACACGAGAAAGTGTGTGACTGTTAAAAATGGCCATTACTAGAACCACATAGTAACCTGGAGCATCTCTGAGATGGTACAAAGTTTACAAAAACCAGGATGTAAACACCACACTGGCATTTAATATCTTGGTAACTTAAACAAAAAATCTCATGACTGAGGGGCCATCTAAGATACTCCACTGGTCTCACCCCGTCTGGAGCAAGGGGAGAATGAAGAAAACCAAAGACACAAGGGAAAAATTAGTCCAAATGACTGATGGACCACATCTACCATGGCCTCCACCAGACTGAGTCCAGCACAACCAGATGGTGCCCAGCTACCACTACCGACTACTCTTGACAGGGATCACAGTAGAAGATCCCAGACAGTGCTGGAGAAAAATACAGAACAAAATTCTAACTCACCAAAAAAAAAGACCGGACTTACTGGTCTTACAGAGACTAGAGAAACCCCGAGAGCATGGCTCCCAGACACCCTTTTAGCTCGGTAATGAAGTCACTCCTGGGGTTAACCCTTCAGCCAAAGATTAGACAGGCCCATACAACAAAATGACACTAAAGGGGAATACCAGCACAGGGGCAAGGACTAGAAGGCAGGAGGGGACAGGAAAGCTGTTATAGAAAACCCAAGGTCGAGAAGGGGAGAGTGTTGACATGTTGTGGGGTTGGTAACCAATGTCACAAAACAATATTGTACTAATTGTTTAATGAGAAGCTAATTTGTTCTGTAAACCATCTAAAGTACAACATTAAAAAAAAAAATCTCATGAACTGAAGGAAATATTTAGGGGCAGATAATGGTGATGGTTGAACACCCTGATGAACATAATTAATGTCACGGAATTGTACCTGTGAAGATGTAGAAATGGCAAATGTTTCGCTACATATACAAAAACCAAAGCCAAACCTATTGCCATTGAGTCGGTCCCTGACTCATGCCGAGCCCGTATGTTACAGAGTAGAACTGCTCCAAAAGGTTTTCTTGGCTGTAATCTTTACGGAAGCAGATCTCCAGGAGTTTCTTCTGCAGTGCTGCTTGGTGGGTTTGAAATGCCAACCTTTAGGTTGGTAGTTGAGCACAAACCATTTGCACAACCCAGGGACTCTTATTACATATATATTTATCACAGCTAAAAAAAAAAAAATGGTATTAAAAAAAAAAACTTGAAAGCCCTGATGGAGCAGGAGAAAAGTGGGGTGCAGAACTCAAATTCTAGTAAAAAGACCAGACTTAATGGTCTGACTGAGACTGGAGGAACCCCAG